TCTCGCTCTCTCTCTCTCTCTCTTTCTTTATCTGTCTATCTATCTATCTATCATAAAAATATATATTAGCATTCTCGTTTATATAGCTGCATTTGCAAAGTTGATTAGCAGCTCTTAGATTTTTTTTATAGCCCTTGAGTTTAAATATTTCAGTTCTTTATAATTACTGGTAAACTAGGGGGACGCAGTAGGTACAGGAAAACGCGCATACTACTTCTAATGTAAGGCAACACATAATTTCCTTAATCATACAGCCTAATAACTTGTTTTTACTTTCATTGTAGGAATTCTTTATGGAATTGCTAAATGAACTCAAACAGACGAACGTGTCGACAGAAACTCTGCAGGCAGAGACTGACGACGATTATTTTGAAGTCACCCTCGATGTTGCCGAAGGCATTGAGGTAAAGCTAGAGACAACCAAAACCTACAAGATTGTTTAATCCAGCGCCAGCACTTTCAGTTATGGTTTAAAAAATCAGCAGTGTGTTAACAACTGCTTCAATTTTATTTCCCAATGAGATTGATGCTTACAAGCCATGGCTTATATACAATTTAAAACCTAAATGATATTATTATTTCGTTTCATTTGGGATACGGAATGTGTTAATTGTAAGTGTTGCATGTAAACTGTTAAGTGTACTTTATCATTGTGATATAGACAACAAACTGGTTGGCCCTTAGTATAGTATTTTACCGTTACGATTTTCTGAATGTTTACTTTTAGACTTGGTGAGCATTTACATGTAATTTAGCTTTTAATAACATAAGTTGTATCTTTCGCAACAGTTATCTTTTCATCACATGAAGCGGATTTGTTTTCAGTCACGTAAATTTTACTTTTGAATTATCCTCAATATTCAATGTTATCTATTTTTAAAAGGCAGTTTCACTGTCTATTATAATTTGATGATTTACCTGTGCCGCTTTGAGTGCATGTGTATGTGTATGTGTGTGTGTGTGTGTGTGTGTGTGTGTGTGTGTGTGTGTGTGTGTGTGTGTGTGTTTGTTTGTTTGTGCGTGTTTTTGTGTTTGTGTGTGTGTTTTTGTGTGTTTGTTTTTGTGTTTGTTATTGTTGTATCAGGATTATGTATATAAAATAAAGAGCCCTGCCTTTTACATGTACACGCTGTTTTCTTCCGTTATCTTCATAGGCAGCTGATGGCACTGCGCTGTTCAAAAGTCACGTGAAAACATTCTCCAAGAGAAAAGGTAACGTTGCTTCCTTTATGTCAAAGGTAGATAATACAGCGGATTACGGGACAGGACTGCACTTTAACCATTCACTTTGGACGTCGGAGGGGACAAGTGTGCTCCTTGACAACTCAAAGACAGACCAGGTAAGCTTTAATTTTCAAAGTCATTGTGTTCATTTTGTTGTATTTATAGGAAATGTCACCAATTTTGGGGGATTGTTTTTGAGTAACCATTCTTGTGGCTACTTTTGTAAAGATTATATGACGAAATGCAAGGTCCCTTGGGGATATGAAAATGAGCTAACGTCACATATTTGGCCTAATGCTTAATATGGCAAAGCATTGGGCACCGTAACTATCTGGTCATTACTGGACCACTAGAGACCAATGGGGTTTTGCCCTCATTGTGCACCTTCCTCAGTACCAAGAAGCAATGGTAAAACAGCTTATTGAACAGATCAAAACGCTGTTTGAAGTTACATCAAATCTGCCAACGAATCCATTCTCTTATTAAACAAACGCTTTCTCATCCACCAATCAGCTGTCAGATGTTGCACGGCACTGGATAGCTGGACTTGTCAAACATGGACCAGGTCTGACAGCTCTTTGTTCACCCACAGTCAACTGTTACCGGTAAGAAATTTTCTGACCCAAATAGAGCAGGGTCTTTATCAATCATGAGCTATTTGGACTTACGATTAATGTCTGTGTGTTGAAAGACTTTGTGATTCCGAAAACACGCTGCGCATAGCGGGTTTACGTTGACGTTAGCTTACATGTTTTAATAATATATGACAGCAAATAAAGGATATGTCACGGATAGAAACTCTAGCGCGGGGGGGATCATAGACTGGGATTAAGGGGAAAATGTCCAAATACAAGTCGTTCTGGGCTTAGAATGATACTACGCCAGTACAAACTGTTGTCTATAAGATAAAAACGACCTTGACTGGTTTGAGCAAGTTTTGTTGGTTAATTGTCATAATTTAAAGTTATAACTGGCCTTGTTGCTACGCATAGAGCTACCACCGAGTATGGAGTTTTTGGCCTCGAACACTAGTTTGCTGGGACTGCGAGATCTGGTGATATTTTTAGGTAGTCTGCCCTTCAATATAGATGACATTTTGACAATCTATTGAACCTAAATACTAATCTGATCGTCTTGTCTTCATCTTGCCATCAGATACATTATGCCTAAACGAGAGAGTGAATCTGATATTTGCCCTGCTCTTTCTTTGAGCAAGTAAAA